CGATGAATAGTGCCAAGGTAGCTTCTCCTGATTGTCAGCGATAGTTTAGGGGGATGGAAGCGCCTGACCTGCTGTGCTTGACACTTCTCCATCAGCAGAGCAAAGTGGTGGTGGATCTGGGTCATTTCCCAGTGGAACCATGCTGAGTCACTCTTCCAGCTCTTCCCGTTTTCGGCCACAGGGCGTGCTGGTTTCTGAAAGACAGGACACCTGAAGAGGAAAACCATCCTCAGATTTTATGAGCAGTATGCAACAGAAGCAAGTGAGTTATAACACATCCCCTTTAAACAGCATGAAAAACACAAATACAATAGTCACATAACTCACATTGCTCATTAAGATATTAAAAAGAATCTCCTACTACCATAAATGGCACAGTTTTTTCCTTATGAGCTGTATTAATCAATAGTATTTCTAGATTATGGCTTACTTTAAAATTTAATGAATAAAAATAATAATAAATATAACAAGACTTCAGAAAAATGGAAAATGATCCAAAAAGAATGGTGACCAGCGCTAATCATGAGGTTTGAAAGAAGCCAACACCACTGTTGTGTCTGTCTTCCAAAAGTAACACCACAGAGTGATGTGTGTACTTAAGACACTTCTGTTTTAGTTTGAAATACCTCCCCTTGTGCGTCCCACTTGGTTTCAGTTCCTTCCTGCCCTGAAGAAAACATACAAGACAATGAACCCACGAAAAGATAATAAAACTTTTGGGAACCTGCATCACAGTGAATGCGATGCCTTCAGGTGAAAGACGCCATCGCGACGATGTCTGGCTGTCCAAAATATCCATCCTTCCATTTTCCATAGATGGTCAATCCAGTTCAGCATCTAACAGGTCACCAGAGGGCCAAAAGATGATGAAGTGATTTGATCTGAAGCTCATCCAATAAAAACAACTGACAGGATAATTGTAAGTCTCCTGCAGATTGGACGGAGAAACATATTCCAGCAAGAAAATTATCCAAATCACATGAGAAGAATCATGATAGTTTTTTTTAAGTGAGCAAAAGAAAAAGCTTTCATCTGGCCAAGAATTGTGCCTGGCTTGAATCGACTTTAACACCTCTGGGTATTGAAAAGAGAAAGGTAGAGTAACACAACCCTCCAGCCAAGAGCAGCTTGAAACATGATATTTGTGGAACTGCAGAAACATATTTTCTTGGAGTTTTCAGTCTGTCGTAAAAAACAAAGTACAGAGAAAATGAAAGATTGCACTGCCAGCAGTGAAAAACGTTCAGACTTTTAGACCCTGTTTATTGCCTTAATTCTTTATGTTTGAATGTAAGCGAGAGAACAGTTAAGTCATTCAAATCATTCTGTTCAAAGTGACACCATGTTGAGTCTTTTGACAAACAGCAGACAAAAATATGAGTTTTTTCTTTGTCATTATCCTTACATACGTTTTCAACTCACAAATCAAAGCCTCGGTGGCCTGCCGACTGGTAGAATGATGGTAAAAAATAGTAAAAACCAAAGCTTTTGAGCCAAAACACGAGCCAAAAAAAAGGAAGACACATCACTGTTTGTACAGTTTGGTATAACTGTTATCCCTGACACACTATTGCTAGTTTTTTTGTATTATTTGAGAATATTTTAGATCTTAATCACAGATGTTTTAAATTCAATGAACCTAAAACATCTGTTTAATCAAAATCAAGAAGCTTGTTTTGGCCCTTTGGAACATTAGAATACAATGAACAGTACTCTGGTATCTGGTCAATTCCTGACCCCCCATCCCCCATCCAATATATTTTGGAAGTTTTCCGAATAAACCGAATAAAAAATGTTGTCAGACTGATATGAAATGAGCTCAGGCTGACCAGCCAGACAACGTAGATGTTGGTTCTTAGTGAAGTTTGAAATTTAGTATGATCACCCAGGGAAAATAAATGTTGCAAAATCTTGTTTTCATTGCTCGTTTCTCTACTAAAACAGCACTCCCTTTACAGCACTGATGGCATTTTAGATCCTATGATGAAAGGATGCCAACTTTTGCAACTGTTCATTGTTTATTTAACCAATGTGCCATGTCAGGGTGAACGTGAGGTTGGTGGTAGTGTTTAACCCTTTCCTTTTATGTTTATTATCACAGGTTCAGATTCTCACCTGTACACTCGTTTTTTAGTATTTAATTGTTTTTCTTTTATTTCTCTACACTTTGTAAAGGTTGGAATTAATCACAATGAATACAAATAAGTGGTTAGACTAGGAAATCTGTTTTTTGTCCCAGGCTGCAAAGTCAAATGCTGTGGCTTCTGTCACATGATTGATCGTACAGTCCCTGTCACAAAAAACTTCCTCCAAAAATTATGTAATCTCACATTTTTAAGCCTAGTTTTGTAA